GGCCCGGACGCGACCAAGGCCAGAGTAGACACCGCCCCCGGCGAGGGGGGAGCGGCCAGGATGGCCTCGAGAGCCTCAGGCGGGACTCCGGCTTCCACCAACCTGTCGTGGCAGCCCACCAGGCCTTGGAGATTGCGCACCCGCCAGGAGTGGCAGGTGAACGGCCTGCCCGGTGCGGGTGGCCTGTGCGACCAGCTCGGCGAAGGAGCCTCGTCTCGGCTCGGAGGCCATGGTGTTTGAGCCCTCGAGCCGATCAACCCCAAGCAACCAACCCTGGCTTAGGGAAGGGGGGGGGAGGGTTCCAGCACAGGCAAGACGGCACGGACTGACCCCTCTTTTTGAAAAACAGGCGCCAGGCGTCAGGATCTAAGCCCGCAAAAGGGCGAGTGGCGCAACGGCCCCCCAGGCGGCGGCGAGCTCAGAAGATCCAGGCCAGGCGATCATGTAAAAGACGAGCTAGTCCTCGAACCGTAGCCCGGGGCGCTCGGGGCGGCAGGCGTTCATGGTGTTCATGCGGACGCCCGCCCAATGGCGGGAAACACACCTGGCGCAGGCACCTGGCGCGGTTGGGGCAGCGGCCGAGGTGCCCCGACCTGGGGCCTGGGCACAAAGCACCAGCCCACCCAGTCGAGATTGTGGCCATTCGGCGGCAAGGTGCGGAGGACCACGCCCTGGGTGACGGTCTGGGGCTGTGGCGAGACCGCCCCCGAGGCGATCGCCTGCTCCAGGGTGAGCGCCGACTCCCACGAGCTTGCCGCCCAGCCGCGCAAGGTTGGCGGCAAGGGCGTCGCCGCCATGGACGCCCCTGGCTCGTGGAGCGGGTACCTGAAGTCATCCCAGGCCGCCTGGCGAGGGTCGGACGAGCCCCGTCTGTGCCGGTGCTCTCGGTTGCGGCTGCCGAAGCCGTGGCGCCCCTGGCCGCCAGCCTCCAGCGGAGGGAAGGACGCCTTCGGCGGAGGCGGCACCGCCGACGAAGAAGAAGCCGCCCCCTCGGCCGCCGCCTCGGCGCGGAGGAAGTTCTGCCAGGGCGACTCAATGGTCGTGGCCGGCGCGCTCCTCAGGCGGGGGTCCCGACGCCCGATCCGCCTGTCCTGCCGGGCCGGGGCCGACGCCGGTCGCTGGGCTGGCGGCGGGCCCAAGGCGCGCTGCTCGGCGAACTCCCGCTCGATCTGGGAGGCCAGGGCGGTGTCGTAGTCGACGTTGTCCGGCAGCTGGCGAAGCCCCGCGTGGCCTCCAAGGTAGGCGCCGTCGACGAGGGCGGCGTAGTAGAGGAGCTCGGCGCCTCCGGCTCCAGCACCGGCGGTGCCTTCACAACAGCCCTGGCGGTAGAGCTGCTGGCCGCCTCGGGCGTCGGCGGTGGCTGCGGCCCCGTGCTCTTGAACGTCGCCGGCCTCGGCGGGAAAGGAACCGGTGGCGGCTTTGCCGACGATCCCGACGTAGGCGATGGCGGCGTAGTAGAGTCCGGCTCCAGGAAAGGCGGAGGCGGGGCCTTAGCCACCGTCTTGGGCTTTGCCGCCGCCCGAATGGGCAAAGCCGAAGCCGCCGGAGGCGCCCCTGAGGCGGAGTCGAACTCGGCCAGGTAGGACGTGAGCGCATCCCAGCCCGCCTCCGGGAGCGGCGGGTCGGCGACTGGCTGCGGCGGGGCCCTGGCGGGAGCAGGGTCGCGCCCCTCCCAGAATGCGCGATTTGGCGCAGACGGGCCCGATCTGTCGTGGGCTGGTCCGCCCCAGGCGCCCCAGATACCGAAGGCGCCGACCAGGACATAGTCGACGGATCCTCGCCCACGGCGGCGGTGTCTTGGTCGGGCGTGGCGTCAGCCTCGACCAAGGCCGCTCGGAGGTTCGCGGCGTCCTCAGGCGACAGGGCCCGAATCACTGCGGCCAGGCGGGGCACCGACATGCCAGCGACGAAGGACCTGATGAAGTGGTCCTCATACGTCTGGGTGCCCCTGTCGCTGCCGCCTGCCGGCGGGGGCGGGCCGGAAGGAGCTGGACTGTCGTCAGGCTCCAGGCCCCCTGGCACCCCGCCCGGCGATAGGGCCTCGGCGGGCAAAATGCCCGAGGAGGCGTACGCCCCAAGGGGCGTCGGCTCCAGCCCGTCGAGGCTGTCCAAATCCACCAAGCCGCCCGGCGCGGTCGTAGTAGGCGCCGAGGTCGTGCCACAGTCCAGACCCACGCCAGGCGAGGCCCCGGAGTCATCCGCCCCAATCGGCGAAGCGGGGGCGGCGACCGCCTCCAGCACTGGCGTGAGTCCGGATGACGCCATGACCCAGGCGAGAGGTGGCGAGGACAGCTGAACACAGAAATTGACGGGCGAGCCGAGATGCTGCTCGGCCGCCCGCCTAACCTTGTTCCTGCACGCACACGTGCGTTACACCACAAAAAAAAAGAGAGTGCACAGAAAGCAACCGGCGCGGCCCTCGCCAGGGTAAAAGAACGAGAAGACGATATCCGACATCCATCGAGCAGAGCTGTTGGCCGAAGGCCAACTTGGCTCAAGACTGTGAGGCCCAAGCGTGCGCCAGGGCAAGGTCGCGAACATCGGTAACCTGAACAAAGGGAGTGGCCATGTGGCCATGGCCAATCACAAGGCATCTCGTGGGAGCCGGACTGGCTTCGGGTATCCGGACAGCTGACCAGCAGCTGCCTGAGCAAGGCGGATACAGCAGAAGCTGCCAAGCTTCTGCGTCCGCAAAAAGTGACCAACTCCATGCAAGGTGCCTTCTCCTTCATGGTGCCATCCTTTCGGCAGGCCGGCTGCCATTACTGGACCGTGGAAAGACCAGACATATTAACGGCAGGTTGAGCTTGGGTCCAGCATTTTCACCATGAACTGCACGGACTCACCATCTTTCCGCGCGGAAAGCATGGGGCCTTCGACTCAAGCGGGCGCAGAGTCTCCCAATAGTGCAGAAGACGAGAAGTTTGCAGGATCCGAACTCAGCATCCAACCGATCACGAAGCCGGGGTTCAGCACTGCCAGCTCCACACCTAACCTCAGCCCAAGCAGGGATCTGCGATTTGAGGACCTCGGAGCCTGGCCTCAGCGAAAAGTAAGGCGAGGGCTCTTTGGACAACTCCCAAGCCTTCTTTTCAGCTAAGGTCTTGGAAACTCTGTAGCCTGCACCGATAAGGCCGTGCACCAAGGCGGAAAAAACTTTTTCGTGTCAGGGTTCCTACACGACCAGAGCACATGAAGGAAACGGCCCACCCGACCATGTTGCTGCCTAGTGAACCGTCTACTTTGGTCATTGGGCTTCTGCCGGAACATGGAATACAGAGCCTGTGACCGGACCGTCCGGCTCGTCCTCACACCAATCCTCCTCAGTCCAGACCTGGCAGTCAACATCAGATCAAAGGGCCATCTCTGGAAGAACTGCAGCCAGGACTGCATGCCACTCGGTTTTGCCCCGCCTTGCCCGACTTCCCCTCCTTTCACAGTGCACACGCCGAAGCACACTGCCCGCTGCCAAGTCTCTTCGAGACTCAGCACAGCACAGAGTTGGCACAGTGGCCTTTGTCCAGTTTCCAACGGCTGCAACGGAGGAGGTGAGGACCACTCTGGCAATCTTTGCCTGCACCCATCGACAAGCCCAAATGGAACCTATTCGGGTAGATTTGAATCTGCTCGCCAGCTGATCAAAGCACTCGGTGTCAAGAATGGGCCTTCGCTGCTGCTCGCATCACGGCCTCTCCAAGCCCATCTGGGCAACAATCTGATCTTGTGGTAGGCCGCATCAAGACCCCTGCTACTGGTGCTAGACACTTTGCGCACATGATGGCGATCTGATGCACATGCAGGATCTCGAATTCATGGCATGTACACATGACTGCCCTGATGCTGACATATGGCTGAGCTCTGAGAAAAGCCTGATACATTCATCGCTGCCTCGGTGCCCTTTATCGCCGGTGCAATTAGCTCCGCTTGGACGTCCTTGGCATCGAGCCTCGAGGCTTGGGGACAGCGCCCATAGTGCAATGGTCCTCTCTACTTCTCGCTTGAGTGAAGGCCGCCGCTTGAAAGGCGAGGCCGTGTGAATGACGTACTTGCAGCCTTCCATGGCCTGAGATTTGGTGCATCAGGGAATGGGAACAGGGATTGGAACATCTTCTCAGTTCCTCCAGCCTTGGCGAAGCTGTCCTCTGCCCCTAGCAGGTCAGCCTCAGGCAAGGCAAGCTCGAGAGGAAGCGGCGTTAGTTACGTTGAGGCGGGCCGGATGCCTCCACCAACTCCACTTGAGGGAAGATGCGCTTCATCATCGCTACCTTAACAGAGGACATTGCGCACCTCCGATGCATGTCTCTCTCCGGGTACCAGGCTCGAGTGTCACTGAGGTCCACAGAACGCATAGTACCGCGCACCTTCGGTTCAGCGTTGAGTCTTTGAGACACAAACGCCTTCAAAGAGGTTCCACACCATTGCTAGTGGCTCGCTGTTGCAAATCATGCACTATGCCTTCCTTCGGTTTTGGAGTTTTGACGGGGTGAGATGAAAATCAACTTTTGGCCGGTGCCCGTGGAATTTGCTCCGTCTGCCCCGGTTTTTCAGGCCATGCATGTTGACAGTTTGTTTACGTATGCCATTGCAGCTTGGCGCCTGTTCTCAGAAAGTGCCACAGGGACACCGTCATAAAGACCAGTTCATGCCTACAAATGGCGCACAAACTAACTTGGTGCAGTACATCCGAGATTTTACAGGAACTACGAGCAACACACAGCACACGGACAAGAAAGCCACAACGCTGGAGACTTTCCGGTTTGCTACCATCCAAGACCCAGCCAGCATTGCAACCAACCACCTCTGACCCCGGTCAAAGACCCAACGAGTCAAGGACGCCGAAGGACTTGAATAAACCAGAGGGGCCCGGCGACGTATACTGACATGCAAGAAAACCGACAGATCTGGAGACCAGCACCTGCAAAGCACAAAGCAGAGACCTGACTCTGACACGGATGGAAAGCTGCAAGCATGTAATCAGGCTTGTGCTGGTAGATGCAACGGCTTCGAGGCGTCACACCGTCCAAGGGGATACTTTCTGAAAGAAGGAGGTGTTTTTTTGACCATCAAATCTGCCCTCGACACTCTTAAGTCTGACCTCGCCCATCTTTTTTGTGACCATCTTTTCAAACGGCTCATTTTTTTCACAGGAATGCGGCTGTAGCAAGAAGAGGGACAGGCTTGCCTTATCGGGTCCAAGTTCAGACGCCCGAGGCTTGTTTTGGACATTTGGCACTCGAACGGGGACACGAGGTCGGAAAGGAGAGATGACCCATTTCGAAAAACTCAAGGCGAAAAAGACACACTTATTCTGAGAGGTTGCAAACTCAGGGATCCTATTTCTGCCTTGAAGCTCAACTGTGATTCCAGACAAACAACATTCGGACGGCATGTTGGCCTTGTACCCATCACTGACCAGCTTGCGTATGATACTCCTCAAATCGGCAGATGTCGCATCATGTCTCTTTCCAAGGACGCCTCTGTGTGCTGCTTGTCAAGTCATTTGCCAAGCTTCGTTGCGACGTAGCCAGCACATCCAGTGACGAGAACTGTGGGCTTCACCTCATCCCGGTTTTGTCAGCGTTAACCGACTGACAACTCTTTGCTCGCAACGGCAACGGCGAGTGTCCGCCCAGCTAAAGAGAAGCGGGCGCCGGGCTTGAATCCACTTCTCGCCACCATTGTCTTTCCCCTGGCAGTGGTCCATGTTGAATCATGTTGACAGAGCTACTCAATCGTGTGAACGAAGACCAGCCGCGCTATCCGTGCCTTGCCGCTGGGTTTGCCTCCTTTGCCCTTGCCTCAGCCAGCATTCGATCAAGTGAATATTCGGAAGCTCGAAACTGAGCTGTGAGTCACTTCTGCGTGGCTCCCTGAGCTAGCTTAGATTCATCAAACATGGCTCAACTCTGCCCGGCCAGTGTGCGGACCTGAAAGCCGCGACTTGACATTCCGAGCGCCAGACCTTTTGAAACACTTCCACCCTGAAGAAGCTGAGTGGATGAGTTAGCGAAAGCATGCGGGTTTCTAAGCTCGAACAAATCCCTGCTACTCCACTGTTTTCTGACGAAACAAAAGCACAATCTTGTACCGGTCCTGAAGTGCGCGCAACTTCTTGGCATGCTTCTCACAAGCATGCCCATGATGCAGACGCGGCCTTGCTCGCAATCGCCTTGCCTTTACCTCAGCTCGGCAAAGCAACAAAGCAAGAACAGGCCAAATGGTGCCATGATGGTAGAAGCCAGTGCGTGCCAAGGTGCCTCCTTTGCCGCCCTTCCCTTTTGGAGCACCCATTGCCAGAGGCTGGAATGCTGCAAGCTACTCTACAGTTCGGCCCAGGCAGAAACCACGAAAGCTGCAGCGGTCAGCGGATTCAGAATTCGACCTCAAAACCGACATCACAAGGCCGACCAGCCATGACCCGCTTCTCTCACCATTCGATGCCAAGCACAAGACCGTCCCGACTGGGTCTGACGAACCTCCTAAAACCAACGTTCTGAAACTGGCCTTCGAGCTCAGCAGGCAGTACACCCCTTGACCATGAACACACTGGAACCCATCCGGTCATGTGGACACTGTTGACAGCAAAATGCTCCGGAAACAGAATTTCGGACCCAGGAGACAGGGAACCAGGGCTGCTCTCACTCTTGACATGATACTCGATTTTTCTGCCTGGCGTACTGTGCTGCTTAGCACAGACTGGCAACTCCACCGCGAGGACGAAGTCTGGGCGTGAAAGGTGCCAATGCCCTTGAGCTGGGCGATTGCACTTTGGGCACCGTCTCTGACGCAGCGCCAGTGCGCCGACGTTGGGCCACCAGCTTCAAACGAGGCTAATGCACAATCGAGGTGCCCTCAAGAGGTTGAAAGCGCGTCACGGCCAGCATGTCAGGCAAAGCCACGTTGATCTTGTCGAAGAGGATTTTTGTGAAACACTGCCACTCAGTCTGATGGCTGGGGGCTCCTTGGTATCTTGTTTGTTCCATGTGTGCAGATGCTTGGGCTAGTAGCATGAAAAGAAATACTGGTGCACAATCCCAGTAGCTCGAGCTTCTCCTCAGGCTCCGCACTCGAGGGAGCTGCATCACTCGGCTCGAGATGCTCTGCTCCGTTTGTATCCATACTGAGTACGGTGTTGCCGGGGTCGGTGGTTGGCGTCGGCAGAGCATCGCCTCAAGTTGTCCACTGGCTCAGTGAAGCGGTGACAAGAAAATGCTTCTTCGCCCTAGTCGTGCAAGATTGTGATCGTTTGTTCCGCGCGTTCCACATCATCACGGCAAGTCAGGAAGCATCAACATGGGTCAGAACGACGCAACGATGATTGAACCGATGAAAACGTCGGCCACCAGAACAAGAAAAGCAATTGCTGCTTGTTCATGGACAACAGCCGGTCACAACAAGGGTTACGACCAGGGACTGCAGTAGCTAACCGCCAAGGAGATTGTGATTTCCTGTAGTCAGCGCGGACTGTGTCTCCGCGAGCAGGAGTGGCAGCAGGCGGTAATGGTAGAGTCTTTAAAAGAATGTGGGCTTTTCCGATAGTCACGAAGAAGGTACGACTCGGGATGCGAAGCTGCAGGCAAGCCGCAGCCTTGCGAGCGAGCTTCGCTCTGAGCACTGCTCGATGATGCCTGACAACAACCGAGGCACAGCCAGACGACCCTCTAGAGACCGCTACGACCGCTAGCGCATGTTTTACTTATAATGATTAGAATAAGGAACTTTTCAACATAGAGGTAATCATTAACGCCCCTATATGCTATCGGAACCCATCCGCCCACCTCTTCTGGCCAGGTCAGTGCTGCTGGCCACTCCGACCGTCCCGCGCAGGCCGCGGCCGCCCAGGGCGCCGGTCTTCCGCTGCCTGCGCTTGCGATGTGCACGGCCCAGAGAGGGCTTTCTGGGGCTTTTCGGCGCCTTTCGGCCGCTGGTTTGGAGGCAGCCGAGAGGTGAGACCTCGGATCGAAGGCGCTCGGATGCGCTCTGTGCGCAGCGCACCCACCGCACGCCGACGCGCTCAGGCCAAAGCTGACGCTGGGACAGAGGGCTTGCGCTGGCTTCCTCACTTCGAAGCACGGAGCATGCTGCTAGATCTGCTAAGGTGGTGGAGAGACCGCTGTCTGAAAGGAATCTGCGTGAACCCACAGTCAAAGCCTGTCTTCAGACAAAGGTGAAACTAGATTCCGAGATGTGGGGCCTGTCGACAGCAACACAATGCTTAAGTATGACTGACCCAATCTCCAAAACTGTGGGAGCTGATCTGCTCCAGTGGCCAGGGCGACAACGCAATCTCTCACAAGAGCTCATGCAGACAGAGGGCTACTTGCAGACAAGGTTCGCAGTCGCACGATTTGGTGCACGTCTGGGCACCGCGTTTGCTAAGCACCGCCCAAGCATTCCTGCACTATGCAAGACACTGACCTTAGCTTGGAGAGGCTGCAGCCAGCAAAGGGGGTGCAAGTAGTTTCATTTGAAGCCAAGCTCGAAGCATAGGCGATGCCAGCTTCCACACCACCAACCGCAGCACAACCGTAGTAGAGGACGCCTGCCGGAGACCCATGCCGGAGAGCAGCGAGAGATGGTCAAGTCATATCAAAGCATCTATGGCCTGCGTTGACACACGCCTCAATCGCAGCGTGCGCGTCGCTTTCTCTGCTGGGGAAAACCACAGCCACAGGGTCCTGGTGGAGTCGAGGCATCCACCAGAACTAACAAAATCGCCGCTAGGCGAGTGCCCGGTGGTGCTGTTAAGACCGATTCGGCGACAGGCAGACGAGCGCAGAGCGGAGCAGCTTTTGAGGATGCCTGTTTTAGTGTATCGATCCAATCTTATCGGATCCCCACCCAAAGGGGAATCCTTACGGGCCCCGTTGCGCAAGAATGAAATGCACAAGTCGAGAAGTGCACCACACCTCAACTCGCTACTACACTTCACTTGCACCTCGAAAGCACCTGTTTCACTGAAGTCCTCCAACCCACAGCACACACCTACACGAACCAGAAAGTCCGCTTCCTCACAGACCAGCCCCCGCGCACACCACATCCACAAAGCAAAGTTGAAGATTTTCGGGCACATTGGTCGATCCCATCCCACTTGTATTGACAGGAACTGTTGATTTACCAGCAGTTTTCAGCAACCGGGGTGTACGGTAGGTGCTGGTTTAAGGGTGGCTAGAGGAAGGGTCAACTGGACAGAACAGTGTGCCAGACTAATGTGGCCTGGCTTTTACAGTCCACGGCCCCGCCTCCCTCTCACAGCTCTTCCTTCCCTTACGTGTATCTACAGACTCTGTAGCTGATGACCACCACTTTTGCAGCCATTTAGTGGGGCTGCCAACATGCAAGACACTCGTCAGAGCCAATTCTGTTCAGGTTTACTCACAAATTTGCGAGACGCGCTTGGAGTCGTGCTGCGTTTGTTGCAGAAGGCCACCCAGAAAATAAAACAACTTGGGGTGTATATCGTGAGGATATCTGACTGACTTCTCCCAGGGCGGACAGAAGCATATTTACACTCTACGAGCACCTGTGCGCAAAGCGGATGATTTGAAGGAATAATCCTCGGAACTATGCATCTTGTGGGGCCCAGAAAAGAGAATGCAGGCGCAGGTTAGCACATGAATGTGGTTGTATGGGTCTACCTGCAGGCAAGCATCTCAACAATTGGTACCGCATCATGGACTATGCAGGGTGCCACAGAAACGACTGATGGAAGGTAGATGATTGTCGTCTTGAATAGGGAATGCAGCACGCAGCTTAAGAAAGGACGATGTTTCCCTTGCTGCAAAAATGCGGGTGTCCCCTCCCTGGCATGCCCGCCTCTATTTTGTCAGCTCTGTCCATTCGCTGCAGTAATGTCCTGCGCAAGCTGAACACGTTTTACAGCCCCAGTACCGTTCAGGGAAGTGTGGAGATTTGCAGAAGTGCTGGCTCCTCGTCTCATCGGCCACAAGTACACGTTGACCACCTTTCTGGCTCTCCTTGAGAAGGGCCTCTTCAGAAGCATGTGGGAATTGCACAGAAAGGAAAGCCCGTGGATCCACACCGCTCGAGCGCAGGCGAGTCGCCGTTAGAGATCGATTGGGGCTCTGGGTGTGTCGCAGCTTCTCCTGCACGAACACGTCATTCAGGCGCCAAGCCGCAAGGCACGTTTAGGCAGGACTTCTCAAACACGAAAGAGCCCTTGATATGAACATCAGCAACAACGGATGCAGTGCATGCTCGTCCTTTAGGAAGGTTGTTGCGTCGGCTTCTGCCAGACATTTGCCACCGGGCCCCTGGATGGTCAGCGCGTCCCCTGCATGCTCGGATATATTGTAGAATCCAGGGTCTGCACATGATGCGAAACTCGGCCTGTGGCTGCTAGGAAGCTCAGCCTAGAGTGCAGCAAGCAAATCAATGCCACAGATCTGGCCGCATGCTGTCAAACAGCGCAAGTAGCAATACATAGCAATACATCAAAGGACACTTGCAGCTGAGTATCCATGTATTCCTGAACACACCTTGGACGATGCCACCATCTCACATTTACCGTGAACACACTCGTGTGCAGTACATGACTGCAGTTGTGCAAGTCTGCATCGAACCCAGGCACGTGCTCTCAGGGCATGAGTTCGCTTGACACGGACGGTACGAGTGGGGCTCAAGTGTTGGGCTGCATGGTTTAGAGTCCAATGATGGCCAGGCCACCGTGGCTGTTGACGAAAGCATCCACGACCATGGTCGCAGTCCCCCGCTGCTCGAAAAACTGGAGGAGTGAAGTCGCAGGCGGAAGCATCACCTCAGGACCACTTTGCTGTCATAAGGCATTGGGACCACGGACTCGCCGTGAGTTTGGATACACTCTGTCTCATTCGCTGCAGCAGCCGATGGACCGGGGACCTCTTTCACCCGCATGGAATTAAAGCCTGGGAGAAGTCCATGCCCCGCAGAGCCTACTCACCGTTCGGACCCTATTGCCCACTGCTGGGCCCAACTTGGACACAAATTTAGAAACCAAGTTGTTGGGAGGACGCTAAAAGCGCCGCTGGTGCCAGACATACTGCAGGCAGTTTGAATCTTGCCCCAGGATATGCCACGTGCGCGGAGATTGCAGGTCATTTCGAAGAAACCCTTCCACAACTGCAGCCATGCAGCGATGAGATGCAAGCGGGGTCGATCGACCCGATTCTGGTCCAGTGGTGCCGCAGGCGGGGATGAAAGCCAATGAGAGACAGCATTGGAGAACGCCGTATGCCTGTTCAACTCCCCGACCGCCTGGACAAGCTTCATTTCCAGTTCATCTTTATACACAGTTATACCTGCAACTAATCATAACCTGGTATATTAGTGCAACTTATGTCATATGACATCATAATGAATTATTCGTGCAGTGTTTGCCAGACCTATGCTTCAGTGTGGAATCCTAGAAAGGCTTCTTCTCAAGATACCGGCTGCCTTCATGCACTTCGACGTCAGCTCCGCTTGTGACCCAAGGCTAACACAAAGCCTGGTCTTTTTCAGCTCCTTGCAGACCTGAGTCAAGACCTTCGTCTCTTCCTCATGAAGATCCTTGACACCCCCGATGACGCACAAGGCACTGCCAGGACGGATGGAGCCCTCTTGACAAGGGCCCATCACCAAGGCACCGTTTTCACGGAAATCCAAAGCAACATCCACAGGTTTTAGCACTTCCCGAAGGAGTTCTGCTAGCAGACTTCTTGGCTTGAAGCTTGCATCTGGAACTCTCTTTTCTTTGGCAATTTCTTCCAACAAGCGCCGGTAGCTAGCTTCCGTGCCATCCCATGCTCTGCCCTCGCCCAAGAAGGCTGGGCTCAAGCTGATGCTTATTCTGTCTTCGAAGATGAAATGGCAAGTGCTGCCACGTTGAAGAGCTGCACGTGCAATTCGCGCAGAGGCATCAACACGGCGCCAGTCGTCTTTGCTAGGCTTGCCAGGGAAAAACACAAGCCACTGGAGGTCCATCGCACGACATCTACAGGCTCACGTGCTAAATGAGCTGTCAAACAAGTCGAGCATGGCCTGCACAGGATCTCTAACGAATGTGGCGGATGCCAGTGCGGCAAGATTATCTGGTTCTAACGAGTTCTGGTCCTTGGCGGTTCAACAAGCAATGACCATCTTCCGCTGAGGTCCAGAGGCTCTGCTCCGAAGTAGAAGCTCATGTGACGTGCGGCAATGCAACTGCGTTAGCATCATGTCTCGAGCTTTTTTTGCCGACGTACAATCGGTCACGAATTTGTGCAAAAGCAGCTGACCAGGTGATCATATCTGAATGTCATGCACTCATCTCAATTATGTTAGCAACCGTCCGTTTAACTGCAGAAATACATGTTGTGAGCACAAACCATTCGTGTAACTGTGTAGCGCAATCATCCATGGACTGACGCTTTGGACAGGACTACGTTCAGGCTTCGCACTGTGGCGACCATCAAACAAGAACGCTTCCCCCACCCTTGCTGGAGGCGTCAGCTTCGGGTGCTGGAGTAGGAGCGGCCTGCACTGCTTGCAGGGACAGCAATTGGAGGAGGCAGGGGGCGGCACGCGGAAAGCCTGTTTCTGCTGATTCAAGTTGTACTTCTGAATGAATTGTGTCCTGCTAGCCACACCAATCGGCGCATTGTGGCAGCTTCATTGCGAGTTCCAGCTGTCGGTCCTTTGCTCAGTTTTCTTTTTGAGTTGTTCCTGGAGCTGGTTCACGGCCTGCGAACAACACGAAGTTTCGAAGAGGAGCACATGCAAACATGAGTCGAATCTGCAGCTGGGAAAGCCTGCTGTATCTTCTCCAAATTGGACTCGACAGCTGGTCTGACCTGCTCGAAACCCGAGCAACGCACGCGCACCCGATGGTCTGCCATGCCTCTGCGACAGTGCGCTCTACCAGAACGCCACCGACCTGATGTGACGTGCTCGTACTGCTAGGCACAATACGAACATCATCTCGAGTCTCGAGAGGCCAGCCATGCGAAAGCATCTTCTCGTGGAGTCGACTTTGTCAAAAGCCTCCGCACCAGCCGCTTCAGAGGCTGTTTTCTCAAGCATTATTCTTTTAGAATCCCCTTCTGCACCTTGATCACCAAAGCGTGCTCGTTGAGCTCTTGCTCGAGCTCTGCGATCTGCAGTTGAGATACTCGCTGACAAGCACGAAACTGCTGATCTCCACTGGCCCGAATGCCTTGTTAATCATGACGGAGCATTCCTTCTCTATCTGCTGGTATGTTGCTTGCACCTCACGGTAAGACTCGGAGAAAAAAAAAACGTGGTAGCTTTCGCTTCAAGGCGCCACCTGCTGCGGTGTCAGCTCTTCCTTGGAGCTTTCGGCCATCACTCAAACCAGGCCTGCAAGGATGCGATGCGAAGGGAAATCCCACTCCCAAGACTGGCTCTTCCGGGCCTTGACCAGCCGGCTTCGGGACTTCAGAGATTCAAGCAAAGCACACCGACTGTCTGCTTGTTAGCATTGTTTTGCACTTCGGATTTCCTACTACTCTGGCACGTGGCGTGGGTCTGTCACATTCAGCTGCTCTGAAGAAGGCAACATTGCAGAGGCCTGTCTCCAAGCACAAGCACCATCGCGTGCGTAGACTCAGCAGGCACTTGACGGCTTGCAAACATTGTTTTATCAGCCGCATTGTCCAATACGAATTCGCGTTGCAACTCCTTTCGTCATCGCAGACTGATTGGCGATCTCGGAAGGAACGAGTAAGTCTCCTAAACGGAATAGACGGATAGGACCTATGATGAATTGTCTCAGCCATTCTGGCAAGACATCACATGCACCAGCACTGTCTGCTGAGAAGGAAATGCTAGAGAAACCAGTAGTCTACAGCTGTTCAATTGGAATGGGAGTCCCCTCCGCCAAGGCATCCCAGGTCAGGCATGCTGTTGGATTCTGCAATGCCCTGTGGCTCATGTTGTCAAGGCAGATATCCTGAGAAATTCGCAGGATACTCGAAGAGACGGAGCCAGATTCATTCAACACAGTAGTGGAATGCCTGGACTCCGAACTGCCGCGACGGCACTCGCCTAATCAGATGTCACTACAGAGGGGAAGATCAACGCAGGCATTGCCAAGCACACAACGTGGACGACTGGTGCCGGCTGCGTGGCTCTGCTGACCCGACGAGGATGATGAAGAGCTGCTCTTAGCCGTGCAGCTTCGTTTGGACATGGTTTCAGAACACGCGTGACTAATGGAATTCTGAAGCAATGAGACAGTAACAGCATGAGGCCGCAACGGAAGAGGACCCGCGCACCAAGTCCGTCTCTGTATCGACCGACGAGGATGGCCGACGGCATAAGCAAGGTTTCTCGTCTCCCGAGTTGTCTCCAGACATCTGTCCCGATGACATAGATATCATCTGTAGCCGTGCTTGTAGCTCTGTCTCTGGCTGCTTGCTGTCTTTCTCCGCTGCCGGCGTCTCTTCGTGGGATTTCTCGGGTGACTCCACCGAAGCTCTGTGGCTGGACGATTCCTTGCCAAGGCAATGTGCGAAGGTATGGCTCGAACACCCCATGCCTGAGGCTTGTCGCTCATGTCGATGAGAGTCTTGAGCAGCGTTCTGACAGACTGGTTTGGCACCTTCCAAGTCTGCACTAAGCACCGAGGCCATGCCAGTGACAGTGATCTTGGCAACCGGCCATTTCCACATGAGGCAGGCTCTGACCCGTAACAGGGCTCTTCCGTGACCTGCATCCGAGCAGAGTGCGGAATGCAGACTACATTGGCCCACGAGTCACAATCAGGTGCAGCACGTCTCGAACCATCTGCTAATTGCTGTGCGCTCGTAGGTGTACCCATCGGCACAGACCTTCAAAGATGGAGACTTACGTGAGGCGAGCAGAAAGACTATTCCGCTCATTGTTCTGCTTCAGCACAACTCAGGACGAGACTACCGGATCCGTCATCACATCGTGAGTGATGGGACCTCAGCCAGCATCACAGAGTATAGATGCTCAAGGTGGTTCAATGCTCGAGGTTTCCCTGCACTGAAAGTCCAGCTACCACCCCCGAGCGCCTCTTGGCAGTCTTCACTCCAGGGCTACAACCGTGGCGACTTCTTACTAGGACTGAACACTCTCAAACGAAGTGCTTCCGCTTCTCCCCCAGATACTCCGGTCACCCTAAACCCTAAACCCTTAAACCCTAAACCCTTAAACCCTAAACCCTTAAACCCTAAACCCTAAACCCACACTCTGAGATCGGGTCAGATGAAGATGCCAAAGGCCGCCTCACCCAAAGGCCAGACCTCCTGCAAGCGCTCCTGCGAGGCGGGTTGCGTTTTAAAGCGGCGGGCTTGAGGGCTTCGGGTTTAGGGTTTAGGGCCCCTTAGGGCTTAGGGTTTAGGGTTTAGGGTTAGGGTTTAGGGTTTAGGGTTTAGGGTTTAGGGTTTAGGGTGTAGGGTTTAGGGTTTAGGGTTTAGGGTAGGGGAATGCCACTGAGTCGAACTCGTGGCGAGCACTCCTCTGCCACGGAGGGCAGCTGCGGAGGATTTGGTATTTCTTGGATCTCTTCATCATCCTGAAACCCAGGGATCGCGGAAGCAATGGAAAGATTGAAACATCTACTTTCTGCTTCTTGTAGGTTAACTACCGGATTAGCAAGCTTTCTCCTGTGGCTCCCCTCTAGATTCTGGATTGGAGTGCCCTGACTGCTCGGTGCCGTCGCCTACAAATGCCTTCGTGTGTCTGCACCGCAGGACCGGATGCCTCAAGATCAACCTCGTGGACATTCGAGAGATCAGACTCGGAGTCGCTGTCATCCGTCTCCTCAAGAACCAAGCACTCAAAGGGCAAGCTGCTCATTATCCGCTGCCTCGCCGACACCAAGAAAGTCGGTCTCGGAAAGGTCGGAGTTTGCAAGGCCTCACACACACACACACACACACGCGCACACACATAAGGGAGAGAGAGAGATGCCCGCTATGCACTCGAAAGACAAAGGCATCGACCGAATCTTGGCAGCTCGTACGTGGAGCTGTGCCGACTGGTCAGGGCAGCTGCTCCAGTAAAGCTTTCGAGCCCTGACCCAGTAAGCATGCAGCCTGACAGTAGGGCTTGCAGCAGAACCCGAATCAACCTGCGATGCATGGCTTCAGTCGCACTACGCAACCCAAGCGGGACTAAGACTAAGCTGTACACTGCTCACTTGCCTCTGACATTCCATCCGGCGGGTTCAAGACGAAATCGTTCACACTGCAGGGCAGCAAAAAAAAAGTCCACATGTGCCAGGTGTTGCCAAAGACTCTTCGGTAAAGGGAGTACTTGCCTGGCCTCTGTGATGAATCTGATGCTTCTGACTGAGCCGGCCCTGAGCAGCTCGGCTTAGCAGCATGGCAGCATCTAGAAAGTCAAGTAAGCCATCCACAGTCGAGCTCCTCGTCTTCGTCACTGGCCTGCTCTGCTTGGTTGTAACCCTTCCGAAGAGAAACCTTGTACTTGCATCACACTAGGGCCTCGTGGCTGTACCTGGCGGGGAGACGGCAGATCTGTGCACCACGTGGAGGCACTCCATGGAAGCGAACACCTGGCGACATGTCGCAATCCGCTTCCCAGCCTCTCAGCTCGCGGTGGGACCATCCTTGCCTCTGCTTGCATTGATGGCATACAGCGGCATGAGGCTCCTCGGCGCAGAAGCTAGGGATGCGCCGGACCGCCGATTCCATGCATGGTGCCATTCCACCAAGCTTCCGGCAGTGCACCCTATGGCATCCACGATCCCCATTTAAGCTTTACACAGATGCACGCATCAAGCCGTCCCCTGGGCAGGGACGTCCCCGATTCGTCATTCTGATGCTCGTGGCTGATAAAGGAGCTACTCGAAAACTTCGTCACTGCGCGCTTGCTGCTACCGCACCTGTCTATATCTGGCGCTTGAAGCCAGTGCCCTGATCCTTGTCGGTAACAATGCTGACTGAGCCGAAAGTGTATGAAGACAAACGCCTGTGTCGCCAAGGTCACGGTCAGCGGCGCAACCACTTGAGCAGGAAGTGGTGCATTGGTGCATTCCCTTGCCTTTGACCCTTCGCGGTTGGAAGGCGGTGCATGTGCCGGACGTCCACACTAGCCATGGCTGTGGATGGCCAGCAAACGGACAAGTGAACACCGCGAGAGTGCTGCGTGTTCTGCATGCAATGTTGAGAGAAACTCGAGCGGAAATACACTCGTAAGAAATGAGACCCTTCAAGTCCTGCAGTGCTATGAAAAGCGGGAAGACTCATCTGAATTACCACCTTGGCTTTGCAAGTCTTCGGCTCGCTTCACACACCTGACCACAGCATGCGAGGCACATCCGGAGAACTAGCTGGATGCATAGCTTGACTCTTGAGGTACAACCATGACAAAACAAGAAAATGCTTGACACCTACACTGCAGAAAAAAAGCCTCTTCTGCTGTTGTTCTAACTTTAAGTTTTCACGACCTCGATCTCTTCTAGCCTCGGTCGAGACTCCTTCTCCGGTGGGGCCAACCCTGCCCATGTCCGGGGCCTGCAAAGGTTGGGGTCATCCAGCTTCTCATCATTATTCTCATCATTACTATCATTTTCTCATGTTGCTGCTATTCACGAAGTAGAAAAGGTCGGGTGCCAAGCAGACAATGCTGAAGGTCGGAGATGTTCCTCCCAGACTGTCCAACCGTTCAAGAACTAAGCACGCCATAGTGCCGTGGTCTGAACGCGTGACACCACGGACACGGAGGACTTTGCCGACATACTCGAGACTCCTTTGCCAAAAACTCTGCTCCTTTACTCAGTCGCTCTCACGTCTCTCTCGTTTGCTACCTCTCTTCTCCCTCTTCTCTTCACCCTTGCTGTCGCCACTCCGACGAATTTGTCGACGCACTGTTTCGACTGTATAGTAGCCTCTTCTACGGCCTTACCTCCACACATGCTGGTGTACGGATTCGCCGTTCATAGCAAGCCAGCCTCCCTCTCTCTCGCATTCATCCTCGTCTACATCTATTGCACAGGTACCTTCTGTGAAAATAAACAACCGCATTGAAGTCTGCTTAAACAGTAGGCCCAGTAGGCTCCGTCTCCCTCCCTGCAGCATCCGTTGGCCGCCTCGGGGTGTAATCTCCAGGGACGATGCTGTGCTGGCCATGCTGGCCTTGCCCTGCATGGCAGGACTCGCCAGCAGAGAGAGTCTAGAACTTAGCACGCTCGGGACTGGTCCGAAAGTGCTCCGGCCTTCATCGAGGACTCTGCATCAGGTGGGTGTTTGGATGACTTCTTGCGCTTTCCCTGGCTACACCACCATGGGAAGGAGCTGCAAAACATTGGATGCAGATGCCTTCGCGTGATGCAGGGCATCATTGATGTCAGCATGAGAACCCGATCGGTTCAAGCCTGGTCAGCAGCATCCGGACTCGAGAGGAATCCATCGGAGCTAACGTCTTTCCGAGCCGTTGGCGCTCAGCCAGCTGCTCGGGCCTCAGATGCGGGGTCCCCTACTGTAATATGGCATTGACTGCTAGCCTGATAGCCATGGGCACTATCCATACAAGGACGCATCCTACATGCAGAGATTTTAACCAAAGCGGCGTCTCACCCCTGGAGTTCAGCTTCTGCGGGTCTGCTCCTCAAGGACAAGCAGCACCCTCTCGACATCAACAGCCCTGCAGATGTGCGGCCTGCTGTGATCAAAAGCCTCACCGTTTCCAGGTCGTTGTGTTTCACAGCAGTGTGCAGAGGATACCATGACCTTCATGCTCATGCCAGCTGATGGATATCTGGACCTCAACAGGCAGTACTGCGGCCTCCAGAAGAACGTCCTCTTTGACTTTACGGTGTGGAAGCCGTTCTGCCTTGCACAACGTACGCAGCATCGCCCAAGACGGAGACACCGCAAAAACTCACAGGACACAAACCCAGAGAAATGTTTCCATTTGTAAACCATGGCAGGTGTACAGCAGAAAAGGAAGCACTTGCTTTCGGGCTTCGGCCCTGCAAGGCCAAGCAGGGCAAATGGAACCGTTTCAGAGAGGATCGGCAGTAATTGTGGGCACCGGGCATTAACTGAAAAACAAGCCAACTGTCGCGGAATTACAAGCGAACTCTCCGGTGCGATGACGACTCCACACGCAGCGCACCTCTCCAGTTTTCTTTGGGCCTGGCATCGACACATGGTCCACTGCGCCGTCGCCACCGCTACCACGAAACGTTCGAGCCTTGCTCTCCTTGCTGCTGTTATGGCGGCCTGGTCACACAGCATCTTCTTAGAGCTCTCGTGTTGCCTTACAGGCCTGCCTGCATCTAAAATCAAAAGCTCCTCAGCGCTTGGAAACTCCACCCTGATACTTGACGCTGCCTCGGCGCTGCTACAAAATACGTCGTGGTGTTGCAGCATCCAGCAACACTGGCAGGCAAGACAGGTTGAGAACTGGGATTTTGGCTTCGGCGTCTCCTTCCAGATCAACACCTCCAAGTCCAAGTGCTTCCTCGTCCTACATCAAGATGCTTGCATTGTCTTGCAATCCACATGAATAACACTCCGACGCTCCAATCCTCCTTCAGTGGCGACGACTTCTCGCCCTTAGACGATCTGTGGCTCCAAGCGTTCGGCTGGAAGCGTACGGGCATACGGGTTTGACTCTGAGGCACACGCGCTTACTTTGCCCGAGTCCTCTTTTGCTCCCAGCAGCCTTGGAAGCGGAACCTGTCCGACTGTCCAGAGCCAAGCAGAGCGTTCGAGTGTTCGCAGGTTTGCAATGTCGCCTTGTCTACGGGCTTGCTTTCGCGGTCGCTCTGGCTGTAGGTGATTTCCGCTTCCGTGCTGGCTTTTGCCTTTTTAGTCAGACCATAAAACCACAAAGGAACGTGCCGAATGAGAGCGCTGAGTCTTCAGGATGGGACCGTCGGCTGGCAGATGGATTCGGCACAGGCAGTCTGACCCATCCTCGGAGAATGACAGAGAGCAAAAGGACAAGTCACGAGTTGAAAACTGCACTTGCCTGCAGCTTCGGAGCCTCAGACTCTCGGGACTGAGCTTGAGCCGTCGGCTACAATATCAGCACGGATAAGGGCTCAGAGCTATGAAAATCCTTGAAAATCCCAAAGATCACCATGCGGACCAGGGTTTCGAGAGGGGAGCCTGATCCCTGCAAACTGGACCCGTGCGCATCCTTGCACGTTCCCTTTGCTCCTATATACAAACTGGGAAAGCTGGGTTTCCAAGGGTGCCAAAGTCCTGAGGGAGCCATGCACAACCTGCGATCGCGCATAGAGATTTTGCAACAAACCCACTGTTGCATCGTACAGGCTGCGATTTCACAGCAAAGCCCTGTCCCACGACTACAGTATCAGGCAGCAGATCACAGCCGCCATAGATTCTCAGAAGCTTTATCTGAGACTTCACACTAAAAAAAATCTTTTTTGAGGATGCGCAGTGCGCTCCTTCAAAGCAGCCTTTCAGTTCATTTAACCCCCTGGGCTCGCCTCAGCGCGGGCGACACCCCTGACCTTGCATGGTGCACTTCTGCAACATTCAAAATCTTACAGTATTAATCACGAGCAGATCTGTTTTCTTGAGCTTCTGGGGCATGACTTGTGTTTCATGATCTTTTTCATGGCTTTTACTGCGACATATCTTGGCATTTTCGGGAAGCGCAAAGTTGAGGTTCTGTTTCAACGCTAGGGTTTCAGGCGTTTTGCATTAAGGCTTGTCATGGTTGAAAAACTGCTTCGGGCTGCAAGCCTTCACAGTCTAGAGCAGTTCCATGATTGGGACAAATTTTGATAGCTGGTGTGGTTTGCGGGTCTGGGTTTCGGCAGGGCTGGGACTGGACGGTGCTGTACGGTTTGCGGTGTTGCCGGTCTGGTGTTGGCTGCACCCTGTTTTGTAGGCTTGGGTTTTCTACCAATGGGGGAAGAAGACAGAGATGCACGAAGCCAGCAGCCGGCAAGACGCGTGCAGAGCTCAGCGCCACAAAGCCAATAACGTGCAATTAAAGTGCAACAACAAGTCCGGACGAAATGGCCGGAAATCCTTCGTACACCCAGAAGGCACCTTGGCCAGCTCCGGCTTGAGCTTGACCAGGCCAGTCTAAGCAGTCGTGAAGGAGAACTGCCAAGGGCACCTTCAAGTCTGCAAGGCGCAAGAACACGGCCAAGCGCTGCTCTCTGCCTGCAGGAAGTCGTGAAGGTTCTGGGGTCGTGACAAGTACCTTCAGACGAAGTTCGCTGCCGTGACTCTGCAAGATTCGCACGTGCATCCAAGCACGGTGCCTGTCAAATCCAATGCCTGGAAAGCATGAAACAGTGACTGCAAGATTGTCCAAAGCATGTGGTCGTGAAGCTTCGATCCTCGAGTGGATGAGTGTCGCATGTCCTGGCAGCATCGGGCCATCGGCAAACGACTTCGGACAATGCAAAGCCCAAATCGACAGGAGCACCTCCAGCACTTCTCGAAGGGCAAGCAGTTCCTGCCAGAGGTGTACACTTCAGAAGCACGACAACCATGGCTCGGCACGGATTAAGAGGCAAGTACGACATGCAAAGCTACAAGGGGCACAAAAAAGTGGCACAGTGATGATTTTCTCTGCTTTGGCTGGTCCTGGTCTGCCAAGTCGCCGTACCAACTACGAATGAGGACCTTTCCGTGAAAAGAACCCTGCGCACCCTACTTCTTTGATGAAACCACCGGCCACCATCCGAGGCTCAGGCACTGTTCTCGGCATTGCAGGCGACGGAAACGGGCGAGTTGTCGATCAGCACGCACTGGCAGGCAGGCATCCGTTTTGATCCACCGGACGGCGTCCCACTCAAGCCTTGGACAAGGATCTACCAAGAAGACCAAGCTCCTTAAAGTAGGCACCGTGAAACTCCTGCAGGTGCTTCTGCAAGGGGCCGGTGACTGCAACACTTTGCTCTAGATCCTGTGCCTATTACGCATTTTGTACTGCGGTCCCCACCCCACTTTTTGCAATGCAGCAGTCCGTACAATGTTGGCGATATAGCCGATGAGCAACAAAGGCACGTTTTGGGTCCAAGGCATCTATCACCTGTGGAGTCGCAATGCAGATGGATTGCACGGTGCTTGTGAAGTCACCTTACTTGTGCGCTCCGCCTGATCAGCATAAGATTGCTGCGAAGCTGTGAAGATCACAACTTCGAACGTTCTGGAGATCACCTGCCAGTCATGTCTCCGTCACGTAGAGTGCGGCTGCGTGAAGAAAAGAGCTGCCCTGCACCAGCCTCCAGAAAGATTTGTGCGAAGGGGCGATAATAAACGCGCCCAGAGCCAACAGCGTCATCGAACTGAACAGGCACCCGACAAACACAATCACCATGTTTGTGGGGGCATCTGCGAAAGACTGCAGCCTCCACTTGCAAGTCAGGCGGTCGGATGAGGTCAACAGGAGACGACCCTCGACAGCAATGCACCTCAGGCCACTCGAAAAAGCACTACCAGCAGGAAGCGTCAGGTGATATCCCTTCCATTTCAAGGGCCGTTCCGATGGAGGCGGCCCAAACAGCCTTTTTGAAAAAGGTGAAATAATGGTAACAAAAGCTGGAACGAGGTGAAACAAAAAGGCATGGCTAGCATGCGACGTTCATCGGGCATCTTCTTTTCCACACCTGCTGCCCTGGGTGCCTTCGAACCACATGCGAGAAAGAATTAATCACAGGTTCGCAAACAAACACGTGGGGTGCAATAGCACAGAAGAGTCAAAAGCGGATACCCGTCACGTGCTTAGACAGTCGGGACATCCGGGGTGCATGTCGCTTTTTGTACAGGAAATCGATAGGGACGCGCGCCCGCCAGCCCCCCGGCTGGTGGGCGGGCGTGGGAGAGTGCAGGAAAATCCGAGTCACGGGCCCTGTCCCTGGTCTTCACCTTTATGCCCACCTTTTTTACCTTTTATTTACCTTTTTGTTGCACCTTGCTCCAGCTTCATTTCACTTGTTTTTTGCCTTTTTTCTACCTTTTCTTCACCTTGCAACTTCACCTTTGTTTTACCATTTACTCGAAACTGACATCTGCCTCTGTCTCCATGGATCGGACCTTCTAACCCAACCACTTGCTGTGGGCGGGGCCAGAGTTTCATCCAGGTCCAAAACCAAAGTCGGCTTGGCTTCCAGAGGCCAAGTGGCAGGGAGAAAAGGCCTGGCGGATCTGGAGGTTCAAGCATGCTGTAAAGCATGCCTTGCAGTGAGACCTGGTTCCAACGCTGTGCGGCAGGGCTGGCAGCGTTCGCAGGAAACGCAAAGCGTTCCGCACTTGCTCTGGCAGCTCCTGCCGAGAAAAAGCTGAAGGCAACGCCCTGAAGTGCTGTGCAACTGTCCTGCCAGGCCCAACCAGTCGTATCACCACCCGATGACAGAACTCGAACGTCCCGCAGAGTCTCCTGAAAGATCCAGCTCGGCGAAGGACAGATAGTTGCAGGCCAAAGCCACGAACCCCTCGAGTCTCCTCCACTTGATCGCATGTGGCCGCTTTGCTCTGCCTGCAAAGTTCGGCCGGTAGGACAGCAACACACATCACGCAAGGCTGTCGAGAAAGCGCTACGTAACAGCTGGCGGCAGCCTTCCCATTGGAGCTGCGCACTGCCTCCCAAGATTATCGTCTCTTGCCGCCATGTTGTAACCGTAACCCGGACCAGACTTGGACAAATACTGGGATGAGGGGCGAGTCCGGCGGCAGAGACAAGATTTGCCGAGGGCTGCATGGAGAAAAGTCGGCTCTTCGTTGTGCAGATGGCGCAGCCGGTACTCAGCCCAGGCCTCGTCTCATCCTCACGGCCACGGTCGCAGACATGGAACGTAATGGAAGAAGGCCAAGGACAAAGCACCTTCAATGGAGCCTGATGCTGTCGCCATTGATCTGGCTGGCGAAAACCATGAGAAACAGTGCCTGAAGGTCGTGCCATGCAGCTCCAAATTTTGCGTAGCGATGGCAGAAGCCTAGCCTTTCGGTGGAGTCACGAGGCAAGGCTCCTCTTGCTCGAATCGAAAAGCCTCCCAGTCTGTGCTGACACGCCGACACAAAAGTTGCAGAGTGACAGCGCGGTGCCTGGGCATAAGAAATCTTCTGTGGCGTGTGCACATGGGTCAATGCAGCTGGCATCCTTCAGGACCAGGGACATGACACAAATGAACCTTTTGGTGCTCGTACTTGCCTCAGCTGTCCAGGGATGCCTGCGTTTGCAGCTTCGTTCTGTATAGACAACGCCCTGCATTCGGATGCCTAAATGGGAGCTGCCAGACTCCATCCAGTAAAGCTCGGCCATGTGCTCCACCCCCAGGCGAAGCAGACCGGATCTCACACGCCCCAAAACAGATCTTGTGCACAACTTGCCAGAGCCGGGCCCTCTTGGCCTGGTCGTCTAGTTTGCATTGCGCTTTCACCTGGTATACCCACATTTTACAATGATACCAACGCCTAGCGCGCCACAAGCTGGAGCCAATGTCATCGGGGTAAGATTCTCCAGGGAAGCCTTCTGTCCGTCCAAATCGAAATGCGTAAAGGAACATAATCCCAAAACCTAAACCCGAAACCCCAAACCCCTAAACCCTAAAACGCGCCCTGTCCCTGTGCAGCAGCCCGCCTCATGTTCATAATGCTTGTAATGATTGACAAGTAGAGTCTGTAGGACGGGCAATAGCAAATACGTCGTCGACTATCTAAAGGCAGATCTTCGAACAAGCAGGAGCTTGTAGTAGCTGCGAAAATCGAACCGTACATACTATTTCTACAACCAATCAGTTTGGTCACATCTCGACTCTGAAGACCCATGAGCCGCAAAGAAACATGGGCATGTCACATCCACTCAGTGTCGCTTTTATCTGCACAGGGTCCAGTCTTTCCTGGTCCACGAAGATTTGCGAAGATTCATAGCATGCTGCTTCAGCCTCGGCTGAGCTGCAAAATCATGACGAAGTTTGGGCACCAGCTCAGAGACGATCACTGATCCCCTTAGCTCTCTGCAGTCCTTGCTTGCACGTGCACAGGCGGCGAAAAGTCCGGCCTTTGCACATTGGGATGTGGCAGGTGTCTTGTGCTGAGACTCTGAGGGCGAAACCGCAGCGGCCTCTTTGACCTAGGCATTCCAACTCGTGTCCCAAGCTTGTTCACAGAGCATGCTTGCATGACGTGAAGTTCGCGATTTTGGGGTCGTGACTCTCAGCATCCTGATGTAGACCTTGCCTAGGCCCACATGGCCCACGTGTGAATTCAAAAGAACTCAGCACAGCAGCCTGGGGGCGCCACCATACGACATGCGGGCAGTCTTCGTCTCATAGTCCAAAGCCCAGCTCTTCGCATGCACTGTACTATTCACACTGCTGGGCACCTCTCGGCCTCCTTTCAACAGCTATGGCTATGACACAAACCGTGTGAAAGTAGGCGACTTCTGGCCGGAGCACCCTGCAGATCCAACCCCACTGATTGGTGCTGACACGGATAAAAAACGATAAAAAGTTCTGAGCCATGAAATTCGGCCCTTTTGAGGTTCGTATCCAAGTCAGCACAGTCCCGCGGGTAACCCCGCAACAAAAACAATTTTAAAAGTCGGGAAGATGATTCGCCCTCGCAGGCGTTCGGGGCAGCACCCAGTGACAAGACCTCCGCGCATTGCACACGGGGGGTCAAAGAATACAGGGTTTGGGGTTTAGGGCTCAGGAGAGATCATGAGAGCAACATTGCACGAGGAATCCCAGCAGTCCTAGCAAATGCTGTTTCGTTTCCTTCTGCGTTTGGCTTGTTAACGTGCTAGGCTGCCTGCCATCCGTCGAGCTGTAAATAGTCCCTGTTGTGAGGCTGGCACAATACGATGTCTGCTACTGGAGGCAACATCTAGTTGTCTCGTCTCACACGCTTCGTTTGCACGACGGCTAAACGCCTGGCTGCCAGTGTTTCCACCAAAAAACTTCAACGAAAACTCCAAGGCCGAAGCATGCTGTAAGCAAAGACTCTCCAGCAGAATGGGCACCAGGGACTTAAACCATGTTTGAGCACAATCAAAGGAAAGCTGGCAACACCTCGAGATCCTGTACAACCCGCACTGCTAAGCGAACCTTGTACCATGGAATTTGAAATCCTGCCCGCATGGCATAGCATGGAGGAATGATGGCTGAAAAGCTGGAAACTTGGGCCACCCACCATGTGCTCTTACTGGTCCCTGCGGCTTCGCCGTGCCTTACCACGCCTGCTTTGTCAGAGAAATCACAGCGAACAGCCAGAGCCGAATGAAACATGCATGAATCTGGCACGCGCACGCTTTGCCATGCAGGTTCTCCTCCACCTCCTGGCAGCTTGCCAGATCACACGAGCACCCGACAAGAAGGATCTGGCCTTGCCCTTCTCTTGCCCATCATCGCCCTGCCCCTGCACACCAAAAAGAAAGGCAACAAAAAGGATGCAACCGAGGAGCCTTCGGCCTTTCGCGCCTCCAAAGCCTTCTGGGCCGCTCTCCAGGCAGCCTTCCTCTCCGCCTTGGGAAGCAAAGCGGCTAAAGCCCTTTGAAAGAGGGCCTCCTTTTTTTGAATCTTCGGATGGGAAGGTGGGCTCTCTGGTAGCGCATGCTGAAAGAGGCTGGGCTGCGACTTTTTGAAGAAGAATTCCCGTTTCGTGCACAGCTCGATTCAGAGAGTGTTTGACATGGCAGGGACTGCAACGGTAGCTCCATCTGCTGGACATGCCTTCAACAGACTAGTGCACTGCCTCCCTTAAAACTCCGGGTCTTCTCGGATGACCACTGAGAAGAAAGAACCAATGTCTGTGGCGCCCGGTGAAAATGATTGTCCGATGGGTCCCTGGGTCACCAAAGTGACAAACCTGCATTCGTGAACCATGTGACAAAGCTTTTCTGGGCTCAGAACACGGGTCTTCTTGTCGGCGCGAGGATCTTCCTGCGCTTGAAAGGTGTTAGGGTTGAGGGTTTGTTGAGGGCTTAGTTTGCACTTCCGATTGAAGCAGGACCTTCGCCCCTTTTGCATCAGACCGCTTCGTGGGAAGCGTCTCGGCCTGATCACCGAGGAGGAAACAACTCGCAACTCGCAACTGACACCATTGGAGAGCCTCTTCTTCGGAGGCATTCTCTGGCGTTTCATTTGGGTCATGGGCATCTTGGGCATCCTGCTGCACCACGGTGGTCTCTCGCAGCATCATCGCAGCATCCGAGAACGCCTCTGCTTCGAATTGCATCTCCGCGCCACTCCCCGTTGCCTTGCAGCAGGCACACCGGAACAGTGAAAGACGACAGCACAAGCAAGGCCAAAACCTTCTTCATGGGAATCATGGGAACATCAGGCGCGGCATTGTTGGCGGGACCCTGTCTGCGCTCTTCTTTTGCATAGCTTCAGAGTCGTGACATCTGTTTGCCTGGTTGCAGCTTGCATCCGTGTCCTCCACCAACATTTCCTGCAAAACAATATTGCACCTACGCTCGATGCTGGCCCATGGCCATCTGGGAGAGTTGTGAAAGCCAGGCCTTGTGGGTTCTGAGGTGCTTTTGCAAGTTCTCAGCCATTTCCGCCTCAAATGCAGACTGCATTGTCACACAGGGGAGACATTCATTGCAAGACTTGGTGCTCAACATGCTCAACGTTTTATGTGGCCCGATCAGTCTTTAGGTTCAATTACCTGGAAGATGATGCTTTGCAGGTGTACCAGTACACAGTCACAATACACACTACTCACTCTTCCTCCTCCTTCGTCAGCCAGTGTGTGCTCCTACTTGCAGTGTGACTGTCACCCTGATCCCGTGCGTGCCTAAGCCATTGAGATCCCAGCGGTTCACAGTCCCTTCTCAAACTGTGCAATTCGTGTAATTCCCTGTGAGATCAACCGTGGGGTTTGGTCAGACATTTGAATGAAGTCGCCGTTTTGGCGAGCAAGGGCCATAGTGTGATGCAGCCGGGTGCCACGTTGCAAGCTAGCCTTTTGTGCATCTAGCTTGCTTTATGTGCATGTGCACTTGCATGTGCATTGGTGGAACTTCAGCACCTCAGAAATAGTTCTAGCAAGCTGAAGCTGGCAACCGCCTATATCTTTACATGCCTCTTTATGTCCCGAGGAAGCTACTACTAGATATGTGGTGGAAACCGACAGAATACGATGCCTTCCCATACTCCTTCTAGACCGTACGGGCCCAACACAAACAGCATCGACTACACATCCGAATGGCCGTCAACTGGTGAGATACCAATTCTTGTAGCCAGGTCGCCGCCATCGCTTCAACGCGGTCGCATAGAACCCATTCCTCTCTTCATGGAGATTTCAACACCGAACTGGAATGGAAGCGCCACGTCGCATCACTTCGAATGAGATGCCTTGTCTGCCTCGCATTCACACATTGTCCAGCCTGCAGGTGCAACCTGAACAGCACATCGCTTAGCAAAAGCCTTGCGAGGCCTTCCGCTGCAATCTCCGACCTGTCTGGGCCTGCGCATGCGCCCTTGGCTGGAGCTTGCACCTCACACACGGGTCTTGCAAGACGCCACCAGCAAGCTGCGCCCCCCAAGCCCCGCACATGATTTCAAGCCGGCTAAACGGCCTGCCTGCAAACGATGGATGGAGACTTTGTGAAGGGACATGGACACGGCGGACACGGCCTCGGGAAAGTCCTGCGGACGTCGCACAGCAACGGCGGCCATGGGGAAGAGGCTGGTGTGGTGCCTGGACAGGGCACTACATCATCCTTTCCGATTCGGATAGACGGATATACGTGTTTCTTTCTCTTGCGACTCTTGCTTTCGTTCCCATCGCTGCGGGAAGCTCTTCTGTGTTCGTCAGGGCTGAGCTCGGCTCAAAACAACCGGATGCTTCTTAGGAGAATGCGGCTCAACCATCCCCGGCCGTCTCTGCTCCCGTTCTCGCGGAAGCTCGACCGTCTCTCCTCCCCCACTCCGCCAAAGAAGAGCAGGAACAATTCTGCCCCGTGCCCACGACTCTCCCTCCGGAACTCCGGAAAGACAGTTCTCTGCCCTGCTTCTGCTGCAGCGCTAAGGGTTCAGGATATCGAGCTTACAGTAGGGTTTTAGGAAGCTTAGGGCTTAGATACCGTGTATTTAAATGCAGGATTGAAGGCTTAGAATCATGTTCTCTTTTTGGTTTTTGGCCTTTTGGTGTCTGCATGAAGCGTCTCCAACCCATGTTGGGTAGGCTGGCATGGGCCACCTAGGATCATGAGGTTTAAGGTTCAGGGTTTACGCTCCAGAAGCATCTGCAATCGCCTTGCCGTAGTCAGCAGAATATCGCGAGGCTAGTCTTGTCAGCTGCGGAGCCGGACAACGCGGTTGGCATCAAGGTCCGAAGAAGGGCTTAGGGTTTGGAGTTCTTAGGGTTTGGCGTTTGGGTTTAGAATTTTAGGGTTTAGAGTTTTAGGGTTGGGGGGAAGACTCAAGCTATTCGCTGCTGCTCATGACATGTCTAGTCTGCCTGGAGTTTCTCGATGCGCGGAATTGGAGCTGAAATAATAGACAATTGCTTCTACTGTGGTCGCCATGTATTCCCAGCTAGACCTCAGTTCCAAGATCTCCAAGATGCGTTCCAAGATGACCACAGTTCTGATGCACCGCAGAGGATTGGGATGCATATCGTGGAGACATCCCCTCGCCAATCCCGACTTGCAGGGCTAGGGAATCAAACAAGGAGCATCCCAAACCTCCTTCGAATTCGGGGTTGGTGACTCAGACTCTGTACAGCCTTGATGTGAGCATTACCACATGAAGCAAACGGAAAATGAAGCTCGCTGCGCAGGCAGGCGCTTGCTGGAACAAGTTAATTTGCAGTTTTGTACAAGCCAGACAACACCCCACGTCTGGTCGGGGGCTGCTGACGGCAAGCCAACAGCCCTCTGCGAACTCCGCACGGCTCTCCGCCTTCTCCACCAAAAGGCGTTTACGAGCCTGTTGGTGGTATAGCTTTGAATCCTACCCGACTTCAGGAACCGCTGCGGTTACAACATAGCCCGGCCTTGCTCGCGAGCCTGTAGCCTAGAGCGCAAAGAGTTGTAGGGAGAGGCATTGCAAGGAATCTGACTGCACTGCCTCGAGCGCGCTTCGCGAACGTCAGCATCGCAATCATGAAGCCAAGCACCCAGAAGGATTGCCTCGAGCTGGCCAGCAGGGACTTGAAACCAGACTTTGCGTCGCCAAGGTCTGCCTCCAGCATGTCCGATGGAGTTGTTGTAACGGTAAGATCATTCGCCTTCTTGGGAACAATATGGAACAATAGTGTGCAAGGTGGCAACACCAATCCTACCAGACGGAGCCTCCTGCGCTGCACCCCAGACGGCATCGGCCTACCACTTGCTACATCCATGCACGGCCACAGCAAAAAGCAGCATGCGTCCAAAGCACCTGATATTTCATTGCGATGGCAATGGCCGACGTTGGATTGGACAGCATGGACAAGGCCTTTAGAGGGCTGAGTTGACAAGTCGTCGGCCTGCATAGCCTCTTGAAGCGTGTCTTGCAGATGCCTCGGGGTCGAATTTCCCGAGCCATCCCAGGTACCTCTCGGATCCCGACTGCTTGAACTCAGCTGCATCTTCTGCTCCAGCTTCTGAGGCGCTTCTCCGAGGCTCACGTGGCAAGTGCGGGCTTTGTTTCGCCGATTCGCTTCAATCGGCTAAACACCTTCCATCCAAGAGAAGAAGCTTCTTAGGCCAGCCCGAAGCCCTGAGCCCTGACTTGCCTCTTGGAGGCTCTGCTGCGCCGCTTCTGCATCGCCTTGGCCACCCGGCTGAGAGCGAGTCCGATGCAAGCTGTGAGGTTCCGAGGGAGCTACTCAGCTGATCCTGTGTCAGGTGCGACCAGCTGTGAGGTGAAAAGTTTCACTGGGACCAAGAAACCATCACAGCCCGACCGATGCCTCAGACGAGCTTCCACTTGATGAACCCTTTTCACCTGGCCATCTGTGGCTGTCATGCTGGCTGCCTGGCTTCTTCAGCAAGCTGCCCACAACGCCTTGCACCGCAGGTTTCGTCCACAAGTACTCGAGCTCCTGAAGTCGGGACGCCTTAAACGGCCCAATGCAGGTGAGCTGCCGGCGACACTCCTCACGAACCATTTCGGCTTCAAGGGGTAGGGGTACAAAGGTGCCCGCAGCACCATCGACCTGTCCAGCAAAGGTAACTTCCAGGGTGACCTGATCCTGATCTTTGAACCCAACCCCATGGACCTGGAATCGGATTTCGGCCTGCCGGACGGCATAGCCGAAGCGCATGGCCTTTTGCGCTTCAGGATGACCCCACTACACTCCACGTCTCAGAAGACAGGGAGAACTCGGGCCATTGCACTCGAATACATCGATCGGGCGTCCTTTTGAGCCAACCTGCTCAGATGTTGAACGCTCGTCTGGGCGCTCTCAACCGGACACGGCCTGGGAAAGCCGGCTGTGCCGGCCAATCCAAGCACGTGCGCCTTCAGACCCGAGGGGGCAGCCCGATGGGTGCAGAAGGAAAAGAGCCTCTGCGATCATGCAGAAGTCGGCGCTGCAAGTCTGATGCAAAGCCTGCCGGAATAAAGACAAGGTAAGTTCACCCTGGAAAGTCACAAAACCAAGCAGCAAAACAAGCCGGCACTTAGGTCGGCTGCAACGCCCTCCCCTCTCTCCGATCCCTCTTCCCATCCCTTCGTGCCGCCCCCTCCCTGCAGCCCCGCGGACACCGAAGTCTGAAACGCGACGAACGGCCATGCAACGATTGTCCAACAGTCCTGAGTCCTCGCAGCGCTCGGGGCGAAATCTAAAGATGATTCCAACCCCCATCGAAAAAAGTGGAGAGGGTCCGAAAGTAAAGCTCTGAAGGGCACCTTCATTGGAGCATCTTGAAAAACTGATATGTACCTCTGCTTGGAGATGTCGTGCAGATGAGGCTTCTGCGAGAACACAGCGAGGCGCACAAGTCGTAATCCGTCTCATCGCATGAGGATGGCCTCTCACAGGCTACAGCACATGGAACCCCTCTTGCAACGGCCTGACCCGCCTTGGCGGTGCGCTTGTCTGCTGGCAGAAGCGCTGATACACATTAAAAAGGAGGATCTCCGCCTGCTCAGAACGTGGTCATTTCTGGTTTGGGTGACCACAAATATGTTCAATTGGCCTGCTCCTCCAAGGACTGCGTGCCTCTGCAGACTACTACAAATCTGCTCGTCGACTGTCGTCACGATTGGGATTCCGACCGCCACAAGCAGCCCGCACGTGCTCATACTTGCAGAGTGATTCGAAATCCTCCGGTTCAAAGTCGCTTGATGGTCTGGGCCTGGGCCTTCGTTCTTCTGTTCTCCAGCCTGCGGTGCCCGCTGCCAGAACCACTTCAGTGCTTTGCCAGGAGCCGTGAGAGGCTGCAGCGGCCCAGGCGAGAAGCGCCTCCAAGCAAAGCGGTCTCCAAGACGTGGCAAACGAAGGCATTTCCGGCCAGAGCCTGAGCGTTTCCAGGCTTTCTTCATCCCGGTCATGAAACGGCACGCAGGATGCCTCCTTGCCGTCCTAACATAGAGGCCAACACACATCGCTAAAATCCATGTGTGCATTTTTGGCGCGAGGCCCAGCTGAGGATCCCTCCGCGACCGGCACGATGGCTAAGCGAGGCATGGAAGATGCTGGAGGCGGCAGCATGCGAACCTGTCTCAAGCCCGCACCCTGCACAGCCCCACTCTGATGCTGAAGATTCTCTTCACCATCACGCGCCAGTCTGCACTGCACCTTCGACTGGTCTCGTGCCAACACCCCGGACAGCAGCACCGCATCGGGAAGTGGAAGCTGCAGAAACTGCAGCGCGGGAAGCGCAAAGCACGTCGCGACCTCTGCGGCCCTGGGCTCCGTGCGAGATCTGACAGCCTCTCCGAGCCTCAGAGAAAGGAGATGCCATGAGATGCTACCGCAACAGATCCTCGGCTCAGTCACAAACTCTTCGAATCGCGTCCCTCACTTCGCCCTCCAGCAAAGTTGCAGGCATGACCTCATGCGAGAGTTTTCGCAGTTTTTGCCACATAGCCCCCATCACAAGGCACACGCGCGCGTGCTGCGAATGCTTCATATGCAGCCATGCTGCTGGAAAAGCGAGCCACTCGGCATCTGGCCCTTGCCTCAACCAAAAAGTGCAATGCCCATCACGATCGGATGCGACATGCTGCCTGTGAGCCTATCATTCTATAATATTCTAGATCTTCTTCGTCACATCTCTCAGCATTCTGGGGGCGAGGACCGCAACGCAGCTCACCACTGCAAAGCAGGCCGATGTACGGCCGAAGCCTGCAGGATTCGAGACGATTTTGGGGCCAAGACGAGCAGCGCCACACATAGCCTCCTCCTTGCTGCGCTTGCGTCGCTCGCTTGCCGTCCACGAAGCTCCTTCCAAGCGCCTCGGCGACACAGAGGGCTAAACCAAGAGCGATGGCAGGCACACGGAAGTCATAGCGACAAGCTCCAAGCTTCTGCCGCTGCAGCTTCAAAAATGTCCTTGTAAAGCCAAGACACACGAAGGCCGCGCGTCGACCATCCAAGCTGCGAGATGTGCTCAGCCCTGTCATAAGTTTTCCAATGCGCACAATTTAATGCATCGCCCTGGCGAGATTCTGCACCAGCTGCCTCACATTTTGAGGCAGAATGTCCATGGCTCGATCCGATGTTCGTCGCCTAAACCTATCTGTGGCCAACCCGTCTTGAGAAGCACGACCTGTAGCAGGAATCTCTAGCTGCTAGTCTAGCTCCGCATGCGAACGAGAAAAGACTTGTCGGACGGTGCTTAAGAGCCATGAGAGTTGTGAGCCTCGAGCAGCACAAAGACACACGGTGTCAGAGAAGGGCAGGATGCACACGGCTACGATTGCCACTGCCCGTCACACTTGCGTGAAACAGTTCAAACTCGTTTCCAAGCTCGGCGTTTCTCATTGCAGACATTTCTAACTTACAACTAAGCCCTGTCGGGACACGCTCCTCTGTGGCAACATCACGGCATGTGATCACAAGGAAAAACTTTAGATCAGGCATGGGGCGTGGGCCCATCCCTCACTTCATCTCCATCATGTA